TTCTCTCTCTCTCTCTCTCTCTCTCTCTCTCTCTCTCTCTCTCTCCCCCCCCCCACCTTTATATCCTAACTTGTCAATGGAGCTAACTTGATGTAAGTGATATCCGGACCCGTCTGCTGGATCGACTAAATTTAACTCGTTTGCTAAACTACAAAAGCCTATTGTAACGCTTTCCTCATGGTCTTTGGAAACGAAACAGCCTAAACCTCTGCTTTTACGCGCCAGCATTGATCAGTTGTTTGTGAATTTGCGTAGCAAGAACGCGTTCAGTAATAGAGGTTGAATAAATGGCTCGCACTTAATTACTCATTGCTGGGTGGTCGTAAACATCAAAGGCTATCAGCTTGTTTTTCACTTCCCTTATGTATGGCAACAAACGTTCCGTCGCTTGGCCAATCGCCTTGTCATGACTAATGTCCCAACAAACACACCATTAATTGTCCCTACACCTTCAAGGTACACACCACTTCGCTCCTATAGGCCTGTACCTCGCGTGGATATTTTAAGGGGACAGTAGTGTCAAGATTTCCTCTTATTGAGGGCAGAGCAGTTCCTTCTAAGTTCTATCTATCCAACATAACACAATGTCTGAATAAGTTCTTTAAAAACAGCAGCCAGGACCTGTGAATCGGTGGGATGAAAGTCCGTGTAGTTGGATATTCTTGCCTTCCCTTGTCTCTCTTGAGTGTCACTCTGGCTTTCTGTGATCTGCTCTAGACATCGTCAAGGAGTCAGGTGTTTGAAGGCTACAATAATGGGTATGTGGTTTGTGGATTTCGATGGTTCATCTAGTTGTATCGTCGTTGTGGAGATTCATTGGATTGATTATAAGCTTGACGGATGCTTTGCGGTCGTTTTCTGTCGAGTTCAGCCATGCATCTGGATTCCATTCAGCTGCATTTTGAACCCCCATGATTGCTGTTCTTCACCGCAGATGCACTAACCTAACAATGAAGTTGAGTCGGCGTCTTTGAAATGGATCTACCATATCCGTCGCTAGTCGTATTAACCTTTACCACAGGGAGCTGGCATTCTGCTCCTGTCCGTTTTTGCCAATTTTAATCACTCTTGTAAAGAATGAAGAAATATATCCACACTTCCCTTTCCCGCCCTGGTAACGGAGGTTCTCAAATCAATCCTGCTTCAATCAACCTACTTTGCCACTTACAAAGCGGATCTTAGGCAATAGCGAGTAAATATTCTCACATTCTGTTTTAGCGTGCCCATTTGGCGTGCATTTGCCTGATTTGAGAACGTTTTCGCATAGCTATTCGGTGGATTTAAATCTTTTTGCTCCTTTTCCTCCTCATTTTTCATTTTTGAAGCCTTTTGATTTACCCCCAAATGGAATGCGTATTTTCTTTTGATTTCAGCCGCTTTTGAGATATCATCACCCCCAATGGGGTGTTGCCGATTAAAACGGGAAAATTCCACCTACTGTTTAATCTTGTTTTAAATTGGAGTGGAAAAATCGGTTACTAGAGCACTCCACTTTGGAATGTAACATTGTCAAAGGTAGCAATTAACAATGAGAGTTACCTGAGAGGGAAGTTCTGTTGCCAGTGCTGTCCCTCCTGGTCTTGTAAAGCAGTTAATCAGCACTGTCTTCTTAATAATTTAGAAGGAATCTGCGGTCTATTATGCCTTTAATAATGGATGAGACGATAGGACTGGCGCATCAAAAGCAAAAGGAGGGGTTTATTAGACCAATCAAATTAACTCCGAATAATGTTGACCGTACAGCTGAGGAAATAATCTATCAAAAATGTTTTGTTTATTTGAGCCGAATCCCCAAATTACGTGTTATAAGTACTAGTGAGGAAGTGCAGTCAATTCTGTCGAGAGAGGGAGTCTGCCATTCAAATGCGGAAGGGATCTGAGTGTGGATGATTAATGAATGTTACGAGGGAAGGGAGGCGGGGCTATGGAAATGTGGATATGTAAGGTATTCTCTTTAATCCTTTCGCCGACCGGAGAAATACAAAGTAGACGCGGGTTTCACTTTTTATAAAGAACGAGAAAAAGTTGCCCCTGGGGCGTCTTTCTCACCGTGATACAACACTTTTGAAATGAAAGTTCCACGATCGAACCCTCTCAAATTGCTACGAAAAGCTTCTCAGCCTTAGAACCAGGTAAAACTCGATTGGTTTTACCAGACAAGGTCTAATCAAATCCACCAGGTTAATCTAGCCTTCAATTAAGCAGCGACCTCGCTACTCCCTGTGGTCAGTCTCGCCTCGACCATTGTAAAGCGATTAGATTGGCAGGATTTAAGATTAATCGTATGAACTACTTTAAAAGACCATCGTTTTCTTGTAAAATACTTAATATAAGGTAACCTTAGCCATGTCTGAAATTCATGGGCTGTCACCATCGCTACTCTGTCACCTATTTGGATTGTTCCCATGTTAGAGAGAGGAGAAGATAAATCATCTTACAAATTTTGTCTTTAAATATTGCAAGTAGTTGATTTGCGGTTGTTCTCTCATGGCATTGCCTTTAGGCGTCACAGCTGAGCATCTCAGCTCTCCTAATCTGGAAACCATCTCGAAAGTCGGACCGCCTTCTTCGCGTCCTCTTTGTGGCACCGAATGCACACCAACTTCGCGTTCTTACAGCCCTGGAAGCTTTGCATGTTGGAGTGCCTTACATTCATCATGCTGAGCCTTACACTGTTCCCTCAACCACGACACCTGGTGTGGCACGCAGAGTAGCTTCTGCTCGACCCGCTGCCGCCGCACCGAGGGCCGCTCCGCATGCTCCAAAGTCGGCCATCACGTCCAAAGCACCGACTAAACTGGCACCAAAAGTGGAGGCCCGTCAGCTAAAGAGCGCACCACCGCCATCGCACAAACCAACTTCAATGTTGACGAAGACAGTTCCTCCATTGAAGGCCAAGGAGGTGGTGAAAGAGAAAAAGAAAAAAGAGGAGAAAGAAAAGAATGAGACACCCGCTGAAATAGTAGCAGGTTAGTTTGAAAGTTGAAGAACTTCGATGAATTTATGATAATTGTACCTTATCTCATAATTCCTTTTTCATGATTTCCTATTTCACTGCATTCTCCCTCATTTTGAGTTGCTTTACCCCTATATAAAAATTACCCAGAGAGATTTGTCCTTGTTTAACTCCCTGTCATGTCATGATTCCACACAGCTGCTTAAGGCATAGCTATCGGTGGTGGCTCCATACTAGACGTTTTTAGATGGTTTCCACCTGATATGGCTTCAGTTGTCGACCTGACCTACTAAAAACCATCTGACTGGAGGGTGATTGCCTAATCAGGGGGTAGCTCCGATCGTCCCTTCTATTGCATATCTACATAGATCTAAACATCTGCAGTCAGTGTAATCGGAATCGCTTTCCTCTCTCTCTCCAAGTGCAGCGTCCGAGGTGTTCGGTTCTGGAAGGAGGTTAATTCCAGTGGGGCTTGTGGGCTGTTAACAGAAACTTCTGTGACTGAGAGGCTCTGAAATTGGAAAGGTTTGTTTATTTTCCTTTTCAATCGAGCGTGCGGATTTTAATAAAAACCCAGCCCTATCCACCTCTTTTCCCGTCTCACCTTTATTTTCCAACTGTCTGTTTTATTTTGCATATGAGCCCACTATTGTTTGGTGACAGAAACTGGCAAAAATCACCTGAAGAAGTGGGAATCACAGTTGGGAATGGGGCATTATCTCCCTTTCTCTCGCTTCCATCATTGATCCCATTGAAAGGTTTTGAGGTGGTGTGAAGTCAAGTGTTGCCTTGAAAAGGAATGGGTTTTCTTTTCACTGATTCACTTGACATGGCTACCCCCTAGTCGTGCCGCTTCGTATTGGGAGGATGGACGTTACCCATGAAGCAACCGCTTGACCTTCAGCAATTGGACAGTTTCCTTTTCAATCTACCATGCGCAAGTATATAGCCCTGTGGGGATGGTGTGGTAGACGCCACAGAAGCGTCGCGTAGGTAGCTAGTGGGTGAGTCAGTTGTGAATAACCAACAATGATAAATTGGCTCACTTACCAGACCTTCAAAAACCATTTCTCATCACAAAATGATATTTGGTTAATCAGCCGACAATTTAAAAACGTACGAAACCCTAGGAAATCTGTGATCTCTACCATCAACTATGGTCGGGTGATATCCATCTACTTACCTTCCACGATATTCACAGTTGTCGTTGAAATTGTTCTTTAGATGCTTCAGAATGAAGATTCTTCACCAATCTGATTCATTCTCCTTGGATAGTCCATTACCAGAGTCAAATCACTCATTCAGTAAGAAAATCAACCGCTAAACCGCTCGCAAATGCTACGGGAAACTTTTGGAGTTTTGGAACTAGCTACAAATCATTATGTTTCAGCTGATAACGTCAGCCCACACTCATTAAATCAGTTTGCATGACAAATTGTGAAAGGATTGAGACATAAAAACACGGAGAAAGCGGTAGAGTGAACAGGGGAAATCTCTTCTTGCAAATTGATCGTTCTTCTATCTTGAGATTATTTGTCTCGTCTAATAGGCGACTTTTTCTTGTTCTTTAAATCTTTGTGATTTAATTGTTGATGATCACTGTCAACTACTCACCCGCGTCAGGCAGTGAGGAAGTCATCTTCTTGATTCTCTCATCTCTGGGCTTTCACGTCACATATGTGTGACACACGTAATTAAATGGTTACTAAGTAGATCGTGGAGGCCAGGACTGTGGCGGTTGATTTACAACACGAGGCTAATAGGTAGTGCCAGCTCAAACCCTATTTTGTTGTCCTTAACAGAGATCACACCACCTGTGGAACCGACACCGGAAGTAGATCATCAATCGCCAACTCCTGAGGTGATGAAGGGGATGAACGGAGGGGACGGAGTAGCGACGTCTCCCGTCAAGTCGATGGATGAGAACCATCTGTTTGATGGCGAGCAGCAAGCTGTCATGGAACCCGGAGCAGAACCCTTGGATCCTCTCCATGATTGGGGCCAGCCTCAAGCTATGCCGGCTCCCACCAGTGCTCCAGGTTAGTCTAATCCTTTCAAAATTTAGTAGTTGGCAACATATTTTCTGAGAATCAGTTATTAATATCAGGTTCAAGGTATTGGGTTTTACAACTACAAAAGAAAAAATAATATAGGTGTGACAGTAGCACACAGTCTGACTGCCAATTGCCGGGGTATGACGCCATAGGTCAGTCCAGGCAGACAGGCAGGCTGGCATGTAGACACCCCGGCAACAGCCTGCGGTGAGTTGGTAAATGGGCGATTGCGTGCAACAGGGTGTGGCGACTAAAAAATTTCGTGTGAAAGATGGTGTAAGCTCCCAACTGTGAATAGTCCCTAGCATTGACAGCAGGCATCTTGCATAGACTCTACAATGATGTCACGCTAACCCACTCACCAGTAAGTCATTTGACTGCTGTACGTCCACCACCAAAGTCCGTGAGTGTCTGCACGTCACTGACAAGCCCAGGTTTGCTATCTCTTCAAGCAGCAATCACCACGGGCCTTCCTTTGAGTATTTATCACGTGGAATGTAGTCTTGCCCTGAACATCTCATCAATGCGCAACCTGTGGTGTAACGAAGTTGTACAAGAGACAAATCTTCTCGTGACAATCCACACCGCACTCATTTTCGAAAACGAAGGCGTGTTTTTTTCAAAAGGTTAACACATGGTGGATATGAAAGATAGACAGATGACACCTTGCCCCCAACCACCAGCGCAGAAGAGTTGGTAATAGGCGCTGCGTGGAGTCGAAGGAGCGTTTAGAACAGGGAAATTAGCATCTTTTGGACTATGTCAAGTATGCGACTGCTCAGTCAATAGACAATTCTTTTTATCACTCCAATAGTAGCGGTTCGACTTGAACCTCGCTTTGCACATGCGTCGGACTCTCCTCTAATCTAGAAAATCGTCTATTTCATCCCGTCACTTCCACAAAGGTGGGAAATTGCTATCTGAATCTGAAAGACTATCAATTGCATGTGTACGTCGGGATGGTGGAGTGAGTAACTGTGCCCTTGCTTTTGTCAGGGTTTAAGCTAAGCTTGACTCTTTCCCTACCCAACGTTTGTGTGTTTGTGTGTACGTAAGCGTTAGTCACTCATACATGCATACACCAAATGCCTACACGTTCTTTTTTTTTGCTTTTCACTGACTGTATCCCCTTGCCTGCCTGTCTACGCGCTTACCCAGATTCTTCGTCCCACGACTCAGTAGTTGAAGATGTACCGTCATTCCATGAGGCTGGAACTTATAACAATAAAGTATTGTTTAGCTGTCTAGTATCCCTCCTCCTATTTTGAGCATTGTCATGCTTGTAATAGCTTAATCGGACCTTGCAAATCCATCCACCACCGGGCAGGTGGGAAAATCACCATGCAGTGATTTTCCCTTAAAATTTCCTACAATTTTATATGTACTCATGGATTTTCTCGAGGCATTTGGTAAACCCATCCTTCTTTCCATTTCAGCGAAGGGTGTGAGACAGACAGGTGCAAAATCGGCGTCCCCAGGCGTGGCACACCCAGAGGGCTACTACGAGGCCTCTATGGGCTTTTCTAAGGGTCTCTACGAAAAACTGGCAAAACGGACTTTTGTGGATGTTGCATTTCTACCAGGAGGTGGGGATGTTAGTCTTGTAGATGCAGAATTCTTCAAACGCGTTCTCGCTCGCTACTATGTTGCTACTACTGTGGCTCCTACTGCTGATCTACTTAAAGCTCTTGCTGTTGGCAAGGCGACTTGGCACGGTGCGTCTCTTTTATGCCTCTAAAATTGTTTAGCTGTTCCCTCTTTTTCTGCCTTATCCTGTCATCAAAATTCATCAGCCATCTGTCAATTCGCCTGACCCGTGTTTGTGTCGCATTAAATCCTCTGGTTACGGTGGAATTACACCTGAAGTCCCTGCCAAGGGTCTGGCCTCATTTATCTAGTTAACACGTATGACACCCGTCGCGCTTGACAACGTCCCATTCACCAAGATCGTGGTGAAAAAGGCATTTTTTTTCACCGTTCTTCCATCCTTCATTTATGCACTCGCGTCAGTACTCAAATAATATCTAGAACTGGCGAAATCGCTCCTAAACGGCCTATTTCACTTTGCCGCCGTTGTTGACAGCCCACTACTTCGTTTTGATACCGGAATGGAATGTCGCACACGGGATCTGTCACGTGCTGTAGTGAGACAGTGCAAAAAAATACCATTTTCCTTGGTCAAAATGCTCTTTTAACTCGATGCAGCGTTTTTGATCTGTTCTTCTGCGCTGGTGGTTGGGGGCAAGGTGTCATCTGTCTATCTTTCATATCCACCATGTGTTAACCTTTTGAAAAAAACACGCCTTCGTTTTCGAAAATGAGTGCGGTGTGGATTGTCACGAGAAGATTTGTCTCTTGTACAACTTCGTTACACCACAGGTTGCGCATTGATGAGTTGTTCAGGGCAAGACTACATTCCACGTGATAAATACTCAAAGGAAGGCCCGTGGTGATTGATGCTTGAAGAGATAGCAAACCTGGGCTTGTCAGTGACGTGCAGACACTCACGGACTTTGGTGGTGGACGTACAGCAGTCAAATGACTTACTGGTGAGTGGGTTAGCGTGACATCATTGTAGAGGCGGTGGAAGCTTTCTCTCAATACGAGGCTACTAGACTAGACTAGACTACCTGAAGACAAAACGCGCGGTGTCAACTGGCGGTAATAATGGGGCAGACTATTCACTCACCTCTAACCGTGGCAGCACCACAGTAGTAGGCGTAACGTCGCTACTGCCTTCTCACTTTGCTTTCCTTTTCTCCCTTGTCTAAGGACCTAAAGAATAGGCGAATTTCCTTCTCCTTTCATGGCTAATCTATTGACATTTTGTCACTTGTTTGCAGTCAGAACCTTGCCTCACATGATCAGGACGAGTGAGACAGCCTGCGTTTCTTGCATTAACCTTTGCGCTCCTTACCGAACTCTCTACTTAATACGCTTTAAGTAGTACTAACGGCAGTTTTTTTCGACCTGCCTTTTTTATTTAAAACTCCGGGAGAATTTAATTGATTTGTTGTGCAGTTTCCTTCTTGAAGTCATAATAAATCATCATTGCGGTTGAGAAAGATCTACTGTTCGTGTATGCAAGGGGTGGGAAGCTACGGCCATGGTTGGATGGCTACATCGCCAGCCTGCGAAGGCGGAAGAGCTCCCGTAGTGTAACGCACAGTTGAACATAATGTACAATCCCTGCATTTGGCTTACTTTTCCTTAATGTGACTCCATGGAGCTGTGTTGGATAGTCTGGAAAGCTTTCTCTCGCATTGCCACGTCTACTTTGTTCTCCGTAACCAGTGCCATTCTTTTTTTTTCGATCGACACCCTTTTTCGTTGTTTAAAAGTTAGGCGGTGCTTCTATTTGTACAGCTTTCACTAGGTATGCTAGAGCTCGCTCAGTTAAATAAACGATACTCATTGATTTGATAACTAAAAAAGTATGTTTTATTGTGTAGGTGACAAAGCAACAGCGGTTGGTGGTAATCATGAGGTTTCACTCATTTTGTCGCACGACACCCCTGGCCTATTGGAATGGGCTTCATTAAATGAGAAACGCCTGACAGATGACGATATTGACCTCCTGACAGTTGCTGAGCGTTCAACTATCCAATTGGTGACTGCAGAAAGTGCTGCTGGTGGTGATAGAAATGCCAACGATCTCTCCTGCCCCGGCTTCCGTCTCGACTTCTAGGTCACCGCACTAGTGTGTGTGGGTTCCCCGCATTACAGTAGCACCTCATGTATGTGCGTGTGTGTGTGTGTGTGTTGTCATTTCTCGCACCCAATTGTGTTATCATGGCTATTGTCCCACTGACAATGATGCATTTGACGCTTCGTCTTGGTTTCTCTCTCCCTCTGTCTCTAGAACGCCTTTCCTGTCTCCCTTCCCCTTTTCGTTTTCACTTCAGTCGTCCTATCACGTTCCCTCTCTCTTGATTAATAGGCCTTCTTCCTCGATAATAATACGAACGCTTACTGCTCATGACGCGTTGACACTTTTCATTTATTTGTGGTTTAAAATTAGAGGAGGGATTACTGTTGTCGGTGAAGATATTCTTTAACATGCTCTGTGGTATAAATGAACCCTTATTCTTAAGTGAGCGGCGGAGATAGAGGTGACACGCACAAACAGAATCCTAAGCCGCTAAAAATGGCGACTAGTGTCAGAATTCCCGCACAGGTAAATGTACAACCTAAACAAGTCCCGTCTTTTTACTTGGCTAGTTGAAACTGGCAGTTTTGCTCACCTAGGAGGAAGATGCTAAAAGTTGGAAAAATTGGAGCTTCTTGAAGTTGTTAAAACAATTCTACACTTCCCTTTCGTCGCATCACATGCTACCTACGAATTCTGTTTCCATTATACACGTTGTCTCTAGAAGCCAAGAACCAGTTCTTTGCCACCGCCAACTTCCATTTTACCCTCACCTTGCAAATGTCTAATTCACGTGATTTGTATGAGCTTCTGAAGCCACTGAAAGGTGAGGATCACTTGAGGCATTACTGTCATTGCGACATGGAGGGTAAGGATGTGGCGGTCCCTTCCTTCTTTACCGGTTAGTTTTGCAGTCGTATGCGGAATGCGGTCTTACGGTGCCCAATGGGAATACTAGTGAAGCTTTCTTCTAACTGACTAGCTCCCTCTGGGGGGGGGGGGATGGAGGCATTCTTTTCACTGAAATTGTTCACTCCTCAACAGGTAAGTGATTTCTCCTTCATTCTACCACACACAAAAGCAAACTTAGTCTTCGGGGCGTAGAGTGGGTGACTGTATTACTAAAGTCCAAAAGTGGGAGGTATAAGACCTGAAGATTAAAGTCATGCTCTGTGGAGCTTGTTGACATTTGTTGGTCCATTGGCGTTGCCACCCATTTTGCTCGGTACTATTATACCACCTCTCACGTTTGACGGAGATGCAGGCCAATCCTTTCATCACTGACATTGATGGTTATTCTTGGTCCTGATGAATGTATATTTGTGGTTGACTCATCCGAATGATTTTAGGGTGGTACCTTCTGGATGTCACAAAGATGTCACATGCCTTTTGTTAGTTGTGAGAACGAAGCGCTGTTTTTTACTTTAAAGTAGGTCAGTGAAGATGTCTCCTACATCTACTCCCCCTATCGCTGCTCCGCTATCCATCTGGGCTCCATTTATCTACCGTATATGAAGGAAAGCGCCATTCCTCCACGTAATTCACACATCTCCGTGTAAACAACCTTAGACAGCTCCAAAATGGTCATTTTTTAAGTCATTTAGGTCTTGTGTTCTTTCACTTGTCAGCAAATTCTGTTACTCTAAGGTTTCGCATCCAACCGGATACATCAGGGTAGTTGTCATTTGGGATCGAGTTTCCTTGCCACTGCGATTGATCCAGCGTCTCTACCCTCGTATTTACGTGGATTGTTCCATCGAGGTCTCCACGACGACATAAACATCCTGGCACAGCCTTATTGAAAAAAGTAGAAATGTGGCAGTGCAGTTGAAGACACCGGAGTCCATGGTGGATTTGGCTACAGCCTAGAGTGATGCCATTCTGCTGCATGATATAGGGGTATATGAAACTCGCATTAATTTTTCTACTACTTCTCATGATGATAGCCAGCTTTAGGTCTCGATGGAAGGTGCTGATCTTAAAAACAGCAAAAAAGGAAAAATTAACAACACCAGGTCTCTTCATGCTCATATCCCTTTTCTCCTCTCCCAGTTTTTGTAATGGACACCAGAAAGTATTATTTGAAGCGAATAATGGAGGTGTAGTTATTGAAAAATACTTTCCATGAAGTGCGCCTGTAGATGGTGGGGAATGCCTGTTTGGGTAGATCCAATATTGCCACCAACATCCCTAATGCATTCCGTTTCTCTTAACCATGGGAAATCAGAGGTGAGGTGCAAGTCTCCTGGCAAGTGTGTAGTCAGCAAATTGTGAGCTTTTGCTTGTTTAGCCTGGGTAAATATAAATTGGTACGTTTTATGACACTCATAGGTCTTCACTCGGCATTGAACAGAAATGAGGACATCAAGCTGTCAGCTACACAAGCAAGTTGTATTGGAAACAGAATTTTCTGAATGGGTACATACTTTCGCGTTATCGTTGTGGTGTATAAAAGCCCACTACTAAGGAGGCAAGCCGATTAGATGGTGACCAAACATCCCAGATGGCGGTTCCCCTCTGATTTGTCAATGTCACGCACAGACAGATTTGAAATGTGCTACTGATCATCACAAGGCTAGGACAAGATAATTGCAAGGCCATGAATAGGCAGGAATGGGACAACCTTGTGTCTCACGTACACACATCATATCTCCTCCCTCAGCTTACTCATACTAGTTGGCCATAACGACTTTCACGTCAAAGCCTTTGTCTTGACGACAAGGCATGCGATCGGGATGTCGTCTTTATATCACAGGCACCATAGGCTTGAGACTTTTCTACTGAGAGGATAGTCTCTACGTCAGCATTCAAACGCATAATTCAATTCCTCGCAGTTGATATAGCCTTCGACATCCAACTGAGTCGAGCGTCTGCTACAAGTGGTTTCTATTCTGGCACCCATTTGGAGTGCGCTACTTTACATTTATCAACAACGCGGTCCTGCAAGTCATTCGTGAAGAGCTCTGACGCGGAACTATGCCACCACGACCATAACTCGTACCACGAACGTTGGATAGCCCGCCTGGATTGATGTAAAATTAATGCATGTCACCTTAGAACGGCGACATTTTAGTCTCGTGGTGCATTAGCCTGAACTCTTTAAACAGATACTCCAAACCCGCAGCATGGGTAAAAAAGGGCCATGACTAATAATGACTGCAAAAACCTAATTAATGCTTCTCAAATGGTCCCTAGAAATGATTCTTGCTAAACTGACTTGCGTCGAATCACACAAAATTGTCAATCAACGGATGATGCGTGCAGGTTGTGATTGTGCAATCGTGTGTGTGTGTGTTTGCGTGCGTGAACAGGCAAGTGGTGCAACGGTATTTATGCACGCCAACGCAATTTGCGTGCTCATATTTCGTTGGGCCCTCAGCTCAATCCAACTCGACTTCTCAGCTCGGCTCAGCTCAGTTAGCACCAGGGTCAGCAGTCTTGATAATAGTAATCTATGATGATACCTCCACTGGTGCTTTCAATGTGGATCTTTTAAATTTGGCTTTCTGATACGCATCCTCCTCTGTATATGGGCATAGCACCAGAGTCGGTACGTCCTCGGATTATACCGATCATTTTTTTCTAAAAGTGGTTTTGCCACTTGATGGTAGCCTTATGTAAGGTCTATTTTTTACCCGAGTTTGAGTGTAAGCATTGCCTAACTACTAATTCAGTAATGACTCTCCTTAAAGTTGACTACTTCCAGCCAAGAATGACGCAATTTGACAGATATAAAAGGGCCTATTATCTTACACCTCTTTTCTATTTATAAATTTTTGCATGAATAGCTACAATGAGTCGTAGAACGCTACCAACACACCAGTTAGGCGTAAATACACCCAATGAAACAGATGAAGACAATCCTACAAATGACTTTGTAAGTCTAAACCAAAATCACTAATTTCTTGTCATCTTACACACCCCGTCTTCTTTTGCTTAACTCTAAGACGCTCCCCGCTCCAAGGTCACTCCGTGACCGGCATACCTGACTCATTTAAACAAATGAAAGGAACGAATAAAACCAATTAACCCCACTTAAAAGGAACAAATTGTTATTCTTTCTTTTAATATTATATAATATTAATGTTCCAAAGTGCACACTTTAGAAAATGTCGCTACTAGCTAAAAAAGCCTCTTTATTCCTTGTAGTCCCTTAGCCCGAATCCCAAGCCCATCATACGGATGCGATGTCGACCAGTGACAAGGCCAAATCCAAGTAAGACCGGCAAAAGTTCACCATACAAATTTAGCGATTCCATTTGCACCTTAATTACACCTTCCTGTTGTGTTGATCTAATGTAAACATATTTTAAAGAGCATAAAATTACTTCTTGAGGCTTGGTGGATGTCGATTGAAAATCACACTGGTTCCTCATTGGTTCCCTTAAGAAATAGAAAATATAACACTGCATTTTCATTCTTTCGGTATTAAATCTTGGTTCCCTTTTTTTGGTATTACAGCAACCAAACATGTACCTTTGTGCATCAGGCTAAAAAGTTATGGCCTCTCTTCAATGAGGAGGAGAAGGAAAAGTAGGATGGGGGGGCTAGTGATTGCTCTATGAGAAGACTTTTGCGAAGGGAGGAGGAGGATTGCAAACACCGTCTCCAAATGACGGTGAAGGGCGTCGCGCGTATCAGCTGTTATCGATTGATGATGAGCGCAGAGACGCGCCGCTTTGGTTGCGTGCCCGTGCGTGCGTGCGTGTGTACATGCGGTGTGTATGACTAAGCTCCCGTCAGAGGGTGACAGCACTCGCCTGCCTATCCAGTGTCACCACAACTACCGAGCCAAAATTCACACTTCAAAATTTATTTGTAACATTAACTTAAAGAAGTGACGATTTTTTTGTGGGTCTGACAAAATAGGGGTGGGGGGGAGAACAATGAAATTTAGCATGGATTTTTTATTGGATTGTAGATGAACCACTGACCCCGCGTCATCTTCGAAGGAGCCCATTCGCATCGCCAGCTAGTGGTTCGTCTGTTCAACGAATACTTGACAATCAGCGCTCTGACCCTTCGACTGGTCTACGTGGACGCAATGTTACCTCAAGCCCTCTTTACCCCCCTTCCGCATTCAACTCTCCAAGGTCTGTTCTCGTAAGGAGAATAATGAGCCATACCAAACTAAAGGCGGGGTTTTAGCCTAGATGATATGGTCCACTTCAATCGAGTGACCCTCGTTTACCTCTAGGAAGCATTCGTTTGATACAGTAGAATAGATGGGCGGTTCTTCTGACAATAACGCTCTCCTTTTTTTAAAAAGACTGTCAATGACCTTTGAAATCACATTTTTGTGTGAGCGGAAATTTCTGGAAGCCAATTTTACACTTGGAACCACGCAAATGCTTATTTATTAGTGGTTAGACATGTGAGAATTCCGTCGATCCAACCAGCACACCTCAGTAACCCTTCTTCTGCCACGTGGCTCTACTTCCACCTCTACATCCGTAATTTTTCAGCATGAAGCGAGAGCAATAAGAAGATGCCTTTTTTGCTTCCAGGTTCAACGATTCGATGGGTAGCTTTGAGGAGATTCGTGAAAAGCTGGTTCAAGCAAATCTACTGGCGGAACGAGCTAACACCTTGCTTAAGGAGCGTCGCAGTAACGTGCAGTATCACGTCTCCCTTCAAGTGCCAATTCACTGTCTCAATCAAGCGAAACGAGTAAGAAATGCAAAAATGTGTCCAATCTTCGCATAGCTACCAGCCTTTTTCCCTCACACAGATCTTACTCTTCCAGGATGCTTCTCATAGTCTATTAACAAGGAAAGAGAATGTTATGATCTCACAGATACACCAGCCATCAGCCCACTAATTTTCTTCTTTCAAAATGTTTGCTCTCAATCCCTTAGGCGCATCGTCAGCTTCAATGCGAGCCTGTCATCGAATTACACCGTGGAGGTGTTCGAGAGAGATCAATGAGTCTTGCTCGAATGCAGCACAACCTCAGGGAACTTGAATCAAACCAAGGAGAGAATGAGGACAGTGGTGTCTCAGTCAGTGGTTCTTCCGATCATACCAGTGAAGTGAGAGTAAGACATTGCTGTATTCTTCGCGGTGAATGCAATCAACGCTCAAGTCAAACTGGGACGCTTGGATTTGCAACAGTAAGGAACAAATTAAAGCAGCCTGCACTATTGTCTACAGCATTTCTACACAGCCTGGAAACTACCTTCGGTATAGAATGATTTGTCAGTACGGCTAAACCATCTATGAAAATTCGGTCGATTTCTTTCTGTGGAGAGCTGTCGTAGTGACCGTTGTCTGTCAGCTTTATGTGTGTTCATCGCACATCTCACGACTGGTTTAAATTTTTTGCGAAACTCCTAGCTTTTATTACCCAGGCACCAATAGTTTACAAAGAAGCGGCTAGACTGGGAGCCACTAGTGACTGCCGTTTAGCCTTCGTTGGAAGCGCTGTATTCTGATTGTACGGACTCTGGAACCAAATTTTGAATCGCATGCCACCTTGGCCAACGGTGTCTGGATGGTTTCATAAAATGACCCCAACCAATAAAACCTGTAAGGGGATACATGCTGTCTATCACTTCACGGCAAACTCTGGAGTCCCGGCCTCCCTTGAACGCGCCTAGTAAACCTAAGTTTCTAATCTCATATCGAATTGTGTTTCCGCCTACTTATTTCCAAAGCAGTAGCATTGCGGAACCGCAAAGTTGCGAGACTTTGACAAGATATTTGTCGTTTGACATTCTTTCAGAGATTACCCATAAGACAACAAGAGTTGTGTGCAAAAAACGGCGATCTTGTCCTGATTGGTGTGGCAAATTTATACCTCCGATGTCTGCTATTCATCAGCGAATTCGCCTATCAAGCCCCAATTCTCAGCCCACAAGGCGAGGTAATGCTCCCCTTATGCGGTCCCCCTCATCTCAGGCAGTGACCAAAATCATTTGAAAGCAGTCGGCCTGGGCAACCTTGACATAATTTAAGTTAGCCTATTAAAAATTAACCAGTTTGGACTGAATACTTACTAAGAACACATATTTGCTTTACTTAAAACATACTGAAAAAAAACTTTGGCAATTTCTCAGCTTTGACGACATTTAATACTCCTCTGAAAATGACATGATTGACCACTAAACTTGAATGAAAGTTAGAAGTTTCAAACAATATTTTATTATTGCTTGCGTACTAATACATGTTTTAACTTGAAACTGTAGCAAGAAATATAGTTTTTTGCATAGAATCAGTAGATGCGTGTGAGCATTGTCTATGCAGAAAGTAGGGAAACCTATTATTTTTTGCTGAAAACAGAAGGATCTAGGGTGCCAGCGGTAGCCTAAAAATCGTATCCTCAATTAGCAATCCTTGCTCGACCCTTTTAAGGTGTCTGGACGCGTAAGTGTTGAGCTGACAACAGCCATCTGCTCAGAAGTCTCCAGATCCCAGCAGCCTGGTGTTTCGGCAGGTGTTTCAGACCTTGTGGATCGAGAACTCTGCGATTTTGGAGGGTTAGTTAGCCCTCCTTTTTGTCACTTTCTTGATTGATATGCTCAATTTGAAGGACTGAGAGCGGTGCACCCCTCAATATATCACTATTATTTTACACTTTGATACTATGCCGGACACACTTCTTAAAAATTAGGGGTACTGCATTTCGCAGGTTTACACACCAACTAAGCAATGCTTTACTACGGGTGATACGTCTTATTCCTAACGTTAAACAGCCTTTTGATACAAAAACATTTTTTCACCGCTTGCGTCTTTTAAAAAGGCTCTTGTTTATGTACTTGTATCTCATTACCCTAGAAACGTGTTGGAGGTGCGAGTTACAATTCATGGGGCCATTGGTATTCCGCATTCTTTTGCAAAGATGATCCTCTGCCACTACCAAATGCTTGGAGTGGAGGAACCGATTGTTGTGCTCCCCAAACGTGAGTCGTTTTCAGCCCAGGCGCCACTTCCAGATCCCACAATCCGAGAGTACGAACGCGCTGAACGCTGTGTCTTTGATCACAAACGCACCTTTCATCTTCCCCTCAATCGCCAGACTCTCAACAGCCTTGCGGATTATGCGCTCTCCATTGAGGTGAAACACTTTTATACATTTGTAACATTTCCAAAAATATTAATCTTTGATCATTGCCAAAACAAAAGCGGGTAATTGTACACAATCTGAGGCGATTTCGACTGCAAATGAAAGGTTGTGCCGGTAGTTGTCATTAGATGTGACATACATGGAGCGTCATGGCACCCCTCTTCTCTGTTTCTTCTAGCGCTGTGACACTTCCGCATCAACTAAAACAAGAGAATCACATCTTATCTCCCACCCCATTCGTTTTTTGGCCGAAGCCCATTTTTTACCTCTCTGTAAATTTGTCCTGTGAAAATCCACCGATTTGACACTACTCAAGTCGGGTAGATGCCTCCAAGTGACACCTTTAATAGATTCAGCTCTCCACCTATCAGCTGTCTCCTCACCGAACAAATTGACTTATTGCCAAAATCAGGCTTCACTCCTGTTGCCCATTATGTTGGTGATTTGCCCAGGTTTAACCTCCCTCCATCTGGGTGCCAAAATCAGACTTCTTGTTTATATTGACCGGGTTCAATCACCCATACCACAAATAAGCCCCTCCATCGTCCCGCTGAAAATAAGCTCGGATAGAGCATAGGAAGGCCGGTAAACTACAAGGTGGTGATCTGGATCTAGGGGAACAGAATAGCTTGCGTAGTTAAACTACTCTCTATTTTGAAATGGAAAGCTAGCCAGCTAATCTGCCCCATCCACTTGCCATTAACTGATGACTAAGGAGCTCACCTCTACACTGCAAAAGGGCTGTTTGCCGACCGACTGAGTGACTAACTCGTGGTGAGAAATGATTCCTTTTTTTATGGCCTGAAAGGTAACTTCTCATTGGCTGGTAGCTACAAACGATTCACCCACTACCCACCACACACATCTAAGGTGTTCGTTACCTCGTTCCTACAAGACTGTGCCTGCTTCATGAGTGTGTGTGTGGCTGTGTGGTAAACTGGAGACGAAATTCTTTTCCTACTGAAGGAGATACAGAACTTACTCAAAGATGACAAATTAGAGCGGAGAAAGTCCTCTTCTTGCAAGACAATGCAGGAGCTCACAGCTCATATCGTCAAAAAACCGACCCATTGGAGTGTCTCTACTTCAGAAAAGAAGAGTGACATTTTTTCAAACTCCTGATTTTCTCCTTTAAGTGAAGCTTGACACCTTTTCTTGGCACTTGACACCCACAGGAGCGCCCTGGGCCAAAAGTGAAGCCCGCAGTAAGATTGGAACCCATTGAAAAACGGCCACAGATAGTGTTTATGACTTTCAGCAAACAAAAGCAATTTTATGGAGTCTTGCAGTTACTATTTACAAAAAACCACAATGAATTAATAGGATGCGCCATACTACTGCAAACTTTGTCAGTAGACTTCCTGATGTCCTAAGAGCTTAGCTCAAGAAATTGCCAGCCGCCTTCGTCTTTGAATATTGCAGATCTACACAATTAAATCATCCCCAGGTTCCACGAACTGGCTCAGTTTTTTGCGGAGTTTTAGTTTTATTTATCTTCACTGACGTACTTGAATGCACCATCGTGGGAATTTTAAAGACTTTTTTTTAAGTATGTAAGGCCTGACTTATTTTTAAATGACTAAGTTACAATCAATGTGGGAGCTTAAACTTGCTCCGTTCTGAGTGATTTGATGCAACCTTCAACTACAAGATAAGTCCTGAGAAAGTAAACGAAGTGTGACGTTCTAATTCATTCTTATTTTCTCCTTGAGGTGTATGGAAACCTTCAAGAACCAAAAAGCAACACCCTCCTTAGACGTATAACAACAAATAGAGTTCAATCGTATCTAAACACCAATCGACAGATCGCGGATCAGCAGCTTCAACGGGCTAACAGTCCACCACAGATACGAACAATGAAATTACGTCGCTACAAGTCTGATCTAGCGGACAAACGGAAACCGTCACTTCAGGGCTCTCAAACATTAGCCGCTGGTGCTTCTCCCACAAATGGACTTCCCAATGAAGTGGCTACACGACTGGCTGAGGATTGGTTGAGGGTTCAGCGAAGAGTGGATTTCTGGGTATCTATTGAAGAATTGATGGAAGATGTAAGTCACAATGAAAGAATTCTAACTCTTGGAGAGAGATAAAATGAGTAGAAGCTAGGCTCTAGTTTAAGTGGTGGTAGTTAGAAGAGGAGTTTATGTGTAGGAGTTAAGAAGTTCCTCCTCACTTTTTAAAGTGTTTTTTTTTCATATCTCAACGTGCGTTAAGCAAACTGGCACATCGTCGGCGCTTACCTACCTCTCAAGGCATCTATCATCTCATTTCTTTAAGGTTATCTGTGTTTGGTGTGGAGCAGGTTGTAGGGCAAGCAATCGGAACTAAGATCCACCTTCTGGAGGTAAGATGGCGTGACTAAGAAAAAATCAGGGCGTAAGGTCAGCCCAAACATCCAGAATGGTTAAATTAGTATAAAGGGGTTTTATTTTAACAACTCGGGTAATCATGTCACAAAACTAGCCGCTTGGGAGGCTCTGATAAGGCAATACTCCCTCCGATTGTTTCTTATCCTTCCTTAGTAGTACAGTCAAAGGCAAAATGGTCAGAGTCTGTTTTTTACTTGTTCCTAGAGCATGCGATAATGACGTTAACTATTTTGAAGACCGAAATATTGCAGGTTTTGCTCTGTAGTTTCTGGACTTGCATAACGATTACGCTGTGAGCACACTTGAGTATCCTATATTAGCAACCATAATTTATTTAACAATTTATTACTACTAAGCTATTCGTTTCCAAATTATCCACTTCTTTAAACCTAGCTTGGCTATTTAGTTGTTTCTACTTATTAATTCATTCCAGTTCTATCAAACAGTTCACTTTTCTCTTAATTTGACCTTCTAAAACTCAAAATCCCTCCCTTAAACAGCAAACACTGCTCACAATTTCGCCAATTTAAAAAACTGTGGATGAAAAATAGAATTTGTAGTCGATTTTAATTAGATCGAATTTTTTAATTTTACTTTTAATTGGAATTGTTAACTCGAATAAAATTCTTCGAAGAAATCAAAGAATCAATTAAATTTTATTGCCAAAAGATGGAATTAAACCGATTTGCTAGGGTGCGCTAACCGTTATCACTTATGCATATTCAGATTTTGTACATTTATCACTCTTTTAGGGGAATTTCAAGAAGGTACCCGTAATCCCCTCCTCAGATGTCAAAACTGGGGGAATTTACCAACTTCGTCAGGGGCTGAATCGACGCATTCGAGTGCTAATTCGTCCAAACGATCTTAGTCGAAGGGATAGAGGTGTTCTACCTCTGTTTTGTGAAACGGTTTCTAAGGTAGCTATTGTTAATTTCACAAGCAGTCACCTTTTACTAGGTTTCTGTAGGCTGTGTTACAAGATCGGTAGCTGATTTCGAAAACGGGCTGAGCCATTACCCTAAAAGTCATAACGCCCCCGACTCCTATCAAGAATACGATCTTGAGACAGTGCGACGCAAGTGGTGCAACGCCATGGATGAGTGGCAGTCTTATCTCCAGAGTAATTTGCAAGCAGTGAGTTGCTTTTGTCCCGAGGTTACCTGAACGCCTTATGTCTACCACTTCCCTCTAGTTGGCAAAGAAACGAGAAAAGGAGGCTGCAGATGAAGCAAAGGAAGGCTATCTGCTTAACCGTTGGGTCTCATCAATCCTGGAGCGAGACGCAATTCTTGTGCCTGCACCCGGTTCCAATCTTCCTGGCGCCACGGCCACCGAAATCCCACCACCGGGCCTTGAACAACACACCCCTCTTGTATTTGCAGATCTTGGAGGTAAGAGAGAGCGAACTTTTACTCAAGGATAAAGCAGCAATGTAGTTGTTTAATAGACTAGTAACCTCACCTCATATCATCAAGGTGGTGACACATTGGAGAAATTAAGAAGCCCGCTTAGATGGCCTTACGATTAAAGCAAATGTCGGGCCGTGATGCCAGCTAGTGGCGATCAAGACCCTGGCAAATGTGACCTCTCTAACAGTGGAGGTAATTGAATATGAATTCCGTAATTTCTCCTAGACAGAACATTTAACAAGCCATTGAAGGTAGGAGGTCACTCCTATCTCGAAGGTGAAGAGGCAGCTTTAAAGGAAGGAAAGGCATTTGTTACTCTCCCATTAATCAAGACTTATGCCACCCTTATTGGTGCCTTGGCCTCGTGGGACTCCAACTTACATGAGAGTGACCTTCTCAACAAAATTACACCCCCATCAGAGCGGATCTACCTCATTGTCAAGGTGAGTCGCATTCGGGCTACGGTATCTGGACTCCTAAGGCCTGGATGGCTGGTCCCCAATCACGCAGCTGGAGTTATAATATACTACGTTGTGAGCATTCCTCCCTGAGGTACATTTCATAGGGAGCCCTAGTTTAAGCACCTCACTGGTAAATGAGTGCGGTTTTTCGGTGTAAACTGGTGTTTTTAACCTTGACCCTAATGCTCTTAAGTTCCCAATCAGAGTAAGCGGTGGACATGACCTCTACACAAATGGGTAGGAGTAGGCAAGAAAGTATGGCGTGCGCTAACTTAACACCTGGCTGGCTTGTAAAGAATGTCAAAGATCCCCGAGTAGTCTGCGTCTCGCTTATTTGTACTAAATGATTGACCTTGGACTCGAGATACATCCATACAGGATAGCAGCCAATCAGGAGGGAGTGTGCAAGAGCCTAACATTCTCAAAGGTTCAGAAATTCTTCATGAAAACGTCGAAGCAGGAAGGTTCTTCTGGAGGTCACAACCATCCCTCTTGATTTTAGGAAAATACCGACACTGGTGCGCAATACTACTAATATGCCATAATAAAGTAGCATGGCACAATAATGCCTGTTCAATATTGGATTAATTTGAATGATATAGATAAAAATATAGGTGCGATTACCTACTGTCTTCATTTTAAGGATTTGTAAGTGTTGTCAGCTGAACTTTAATTGTCGGATTTCAGCCTCAGTAAAAACCTTCCAAGATGTAGTGCATCGAGAAAGAGTGATAGTCTACTAGAAGTGCTTTCAAGAGAAGAGGAGGAGAGTGAGGTAGTGCTTCCCCCCCCTCTACCCCTCTACATCCCATCCTTTCCCTTTTGAGTTACGCCCACTCCATCAAATTCAAGCGAAGCCTTCTAAAATCGAGAAGAGGAGTAGAATGCAGTATCGATGGAGTAGTTGCACACGTCTGCAAATTTCCATGACAAGCATCAAATTGTTTAGGCGGAGCTTCTTGATTTCATTGTGTTTCATTTTCTTATGAAATTTAAAACTATTTTCCCCTCATCTCATATGCTACTTACTTACAAATAAGTACAATCTTTCCATATTTAGGTGCATATCCTTGTGAGCAAGCCGACATTAATGACATTGGTGTTGAGGAAGCGGATATGTGTACGAATTTGTAAAAGAAGTGCCCTCTCAAATCTCTTCAAAAGTCCCTTTTCTCGCATGGTCTCAAACGAAAAGGTATGTGCTACTAACAGAAAACCATATTGTCTTTCATTAAATTATCACCTAAAGTATTTGTCCCCTCTGTTATTTTAGGAGATGCTATGGACAGGAGTGGCTTATCAGTTTGTGGCTGGAATACCTCAAGTATGTTTACCATTCTTTCCCTTCCTCAAGCTTTTTGAAAGATTTCTTTGGGTGTTTGATCAAAACCGTCAGATCTGTTCAAGTTCTAGGAATGAGGAAGTGCGATGGGTGAGGATGAGGGTGTGGGTGAGACAGTATCTCCCTTTTTCGAGACTGCTTGCCCTTGTCATGTGCTAATCACACCTTGTATCCAAATCACGAAGAAGTCTACCTGTTTCTAAACACTGAGTTTTTCCGCCCCCACCCTCCAGGTTAATCAAGTAGGATTAGGTATGTGGATACTCACTGAGGCCTAATTTGTTCACTTAATCAATTGTTGAGGCATGGAAGCTTAAACGTCACCTCATCAGTCAGTCAATCACTCACTCGCCTAAATGTTAACTAACAATCCTTTCCAAATAAAACATTTTCAAAAGACACATAAAGAAGTGAAGCATTACGTCTCATCACGTAGATAGGACAGGTTTCCGGCCTATCCTTCCTTTTACGGCTATTTTTCTCGCCTAAAAGTTGTTTCGACAATAGGATCAGAAGTTCTGGCACACCCCACCTCCTTCAAATGTCAAACAGCCGTTTAGAAATTTGGAGGTGTGTTGTGCCTAGTGTGTAATATTTTAACCAGGGGAAATCACAGCCGGTGAATAGTGTGGTACCGGTAGGTACCGAGGTGAGTGAGGAAAAAGCGGCTATTCCTCATGTTCTGCTTTTTGCAGATGGCACCGTACGCACTGAATTCATCCACGGTGGAGGTGAAGGAGGAGACCACCTCAGCTGAATCCTTTGCCGGACAGTACATGCGAACTATTCAGTCAGTTAGCAGTGAACTCTACCTGGATGGCTTGCGACAGGAGGTAAGTTCAATTCTTGTTGATTTATGGAAACTAGGTATTGGTGGAAGGGATATGCAACTAGATGTACAGATGACGCCACGGCCCTACTATTGTTAGTTCCTTCGGCTTTGTAGATCCTTTGTTTATTCCTCCCCAGTGGAGCCTTTTGAGGTGCTTTAGACCAAATCCTGAGACATGAAGTCTGATTATACAATGATTCTGTTGCTCATTCGGAAGGATGTACAAATTACATTAATTCTAGGCTTTTGTAATATAGGGAAATGGGTGATTCTTTGAGTATGACCCACAGAAATCCGTTTTCCTGGTCTCTTTAGAGTGGCATTCTCACCGCCTTTGAGTTCTTCAAGAAGCCGCAGAAAGACACACCAATCTAGAAATAGACGTTATTTTCCCTTTTTTTATCGGCACACGGAAGACCTTGAAGGCTGTATTTTTCGAAGGCAGAAAATCCACATTAATTCTTTTAAACGTTCTCCATTTCAAGGTCGCTCTTCGAGAGGCCCTAGCAACCAATCAGCAGAAACGTCAACCTTTCGACCTCGAAAATCTAGGCATAGCTAACCATGAATCCGATCTATCCGAGGTGAGACTGATTTTAAAGCCATTTTCTTCTTTTTTGCAATTTTCTTGTCAAAAATAAGCTAACATGCATTGTAGATTAAAATGAGCTCAAAGTCTTAGTGCTCAGTTTGATAACAAACCGGTCAATGTCATTGGCTCCTCTGTTCCTTGTTTACCACTTTAGGGAAGTCTCTCGCGATCTCGTTCCTTTACCGACAAACCCAAACGACTTTTTTGGTTTGATACCCTACGACAACGCAGTCAGACTCGACGGAAACCCAGTCCCTACTTCAATCTATCGGTAGGACAGTTTAATCCACCTCCTCCCTCCTTCTCTAACATTTATCTGCAGTGATGATAATTTTTAGGTGTATACTCTCTTTTCTTCCACTAATTACCTTTAGAGAATCCGCAATAGGACAGACAACTCACCCATGTCCCCATTGTTCTTCCAAGGACGTGGTAGGTTTCCATATTATCTGGTTCTGTAACTTTTAAGTGAATTATCTCACGGTGATACCATACATTCACAAGGTGAAACGAGTCGAGGGATATCATCGGCAGATTCGGACGGGACGGCGGTTCAACAATTGGTAGAGGATCTTCGCACCTCGACCGTATCAAGGATGAATGGCCCCTCGGCTTCGGAGGAACAGATGGCCTGGAGTCGACGTGATAGAGAAAAGCAGAGAGGCGCCGATTAAAGCCTTTTCCTCAACCTCCCTCTCCCTCGTATTTCTACCTTACCTTCCTTCCTTTCAAATCTGTACAGTTTGAGATGATCATTTTTCGGTGTTTTCTGATCTTGCTCCTCGCTTTCTTTTTCGTAGTATGAAAGAAAATGTATTTGTGATTAAAAACGTGTGAGTGTGTACCTCTTCTCTAATAGGTAGCATACCCAGTAAGTAGTACATTTCAAAAATAGTTTATTTTCTTTTGTGGGTATTACATGGGATATAGGGTGGGTGGGCGCTTGTAAGGGATGTCTGCAGCCCTGGCAGACTTTCCTATCTCATTAGTTACTGACTTGACCTGTTCCGAATGTTTTGGGATGTCTCTGGGCGGCATGGAAAACCCTAACTTTAATTACTAGCGTTTATACTTTACTTTTACTTCCTCATTACCCACTCTGTATAGAATGCAGTCATCTTGTTGTCAACTGGTGAGACAGGGCGATTGACAACAATTGGAGATGTCACTTGTCTATTAATTCAAACGACTCCTTAGTACCGCAAATTGACCGATGAAAATGTCTGCATTTAACTTATGAGAAAGAAGGGGAGGGGGAATTGTGCCTCAGACCTATCCTCACACTATTTCTTGCAGCACCCTTTCTTGGTTTTACCACCGGCCAATGAGGTGATCACATGCGATATAGGCAGGCGACACTAGAGAGGTAAATTTGAAACAAAAGATGGTAGATGCGGCTGGGGTGTGAATTGGGAAATTTGTGGATCATGAATAAACACTGACTTCACGGTTATCTGTATCAATTTATAATAAACATTTCGGGAAGAATGCTTCTTACTCGCCGTCATGGCTTCCGGGACGTGCTACTAATGAGCCCAAATCTTTTGTGCATTAACAAGTAGTGTGTTCTTTCAAACAAACTTCGGTTACTACAACTTCATTTAAGACTCTTAGCGATACGTTGAAGGGAACTGTGGGATCAGTGTTCCTCGACGTCTTGGGAACCAATGCCGTCCGCCTAGACACGAGGGCGGTGTAATCTGACGCCTTGTCACCTAGATGGCATGCTCAAGCAAGGAGGCATTACATGATCAATCATCCTATTGACACGATAACGTCCCACTTACCGTATAGTCAGTTATTCGCGGGAAGAGATGGTTCCAAATAACTAGTCAACATAGCGAAACAAAAAGAGTAATTGCTCGCTAATTACCAAAGCTCTAACACTGTATTGATTTACAGCTACCATATTGTAATACTTATGTTATTTTAATGTACCTTTCAGGGAGGAGGCGACCTGGGAATTCGAATCTGGTGAGAGGGTTGTCGCCTTCCGTGCCTAGTTGTGATTGCAGTTCTTCACCTCCCCAAACGTTGTACTTTTACTCCTGATCTTTTCCCCTTAATAAATACGTCAAAATTAAATCATTTCGGGCTGTTATAAGAACACTAGGAACAGGGGAGAGGAGACCGGTGAATCTCACCCTACAATATGATCTGTGCGTAAAAAGCCATACCTTCAAATTAAATATCCAGGTAAGGGGACAAATTCTGTATATTTAGATTAAAGAGTATTAAAGAATTTTCAAATTTTTGTACACTTCTAAAAGGTGGTATTTTTGATGCTTTAAAAAGAAACCGATGGCCTTGCACCGAGTTCCTCCTGATGCCCACATTAATTGTAGCGTCCCGAGGCCCCCTGGAGACGAAAAAAGACACAATACCCGGGGAGAATATCTATTCAGCACAGAGAAGGTGTCTGGGCTATTAGCATGGTCCGAAAGGCCAGCCCACTTAGCGAGGTACAAAAGGGCTAATTCAAGGTACAAAAGTGGCGCCTCACCAATACCGGGGGATAAACCACCATCGTACTACATTAATAGCTGGTAGAGGGATGATAGACTCAACAATAAGATGTCCATCTACTCTGTAGTGCGACACAGAGCATAGGAGAGCAGTTTATCAGTATCGTTTAAAGATGATGAGAGGGATTCCGGCAGCGGGTTAGAACGCAAATACGAATCAGCTTAACATGAAGCATTGACAAATTTTGCCATCTGTGCACATAAACAAAATAATTTGATGCTATATTATTTTTGTGTGTTTTGGATTTAGAAGATGTATACGCTTGTAAATGTTGCTTAATGAGTTTATTTATCAAGCGGAAAAGTCCGCGTAAATTAAAAGGTTGGTGTGGAGCCGCGCAAACAGAAATATGAGGACTAGGGCGTCAGAGAGAAGGGTATGAACAGCAGGAACGGAAATGTTTTTGTAGTTATTCGCATCAAAATTACTTTAATACGTTTATTCCTACTTTGTTGTTTAGGAAATGATTCCTTTTTAACGAGTGTAAATGCTGTTCATTCTGTAAAATTATCTAACTTTAAATCTCTTGTCATGATACGTCCGTATGCTCCACTTATTCATATTTTGCTCCCTAATGCTTTCAAACATGCTTTGCATAAAACTAGGATTATTTAAGACCCATTATCCAGCTATGCACTAATGTGCCATTTGTAGCTTACTCGATCTAGAAGTTCTCTTACAATCCAAAACGGGGTTAAGTCATCGTCAACAGCTACACGAGTTCGTTGTAAAGGTAAATCTCGATCCTCAGTACGGAGCGTTGCGTCCAGAGATCGAGTGGTTAGTATTTGATTTCTTTAAATATTGTCACTTCTGCCTCACTAACTTCTTCTAATCATTTTTATTTAAAATTAATTAGTTGATATCTTATTTGTCTTTTTTTTCCACAAACCGTTTTGACTTAGTTTAATTGTACACATGTATAATAAGTTGCATTATTTTATAACATAAGTAAGTCTGCTCACAAAATATTCATTTTTTTCCGCCCCAGTGGTTTTTTAACAGTCAGTATTTCTTTTATTGTTTTATTCTTTTTATTTAGCTACGTTCTTCAAGGAACAGGAAGGTGCATGTATTACAGTCTCAGAGCAAGCAGTCATCAAATAAGCCAAGAAAGCAACCAGTATCGGTAAGGACGTTTTATTTGTCAATGATTCGCTTTGAGAGAAAGATAATTTTTCACTTTTCCACCTTTTTTTATTTTAGTCACGATCTTCTGAAGGAGTTGCGAGTAGTAGGAAGTCCGAAAGGCAGACACGTAATGGGCTGCCGGATGCCTCTCAGTCGGTAAGTCTAGGACTCCCAAGTGTAACAACTTCTCTTCTTTATAGCTCTCAGCATCAAAAGCGAAGCGCAGGAAAGCGGGAAAGACCCGTGATGAGCGATCAGAGGATCCCTATGAGTTAAGTGAGGACGAAAACGAGGCACCCGCTGCTATTTTTGGCAGCCCGTCTGCTCCCTGTGCGGCCATCTCATCGATTGACAAGAAACGCAAATTTTTCCCGACTCGACGTGAGGGCTCAACCAATCGCGCAGCTCTTAGTGGATTCGACATTTTGCGTCGAAAACTTACTGCCAAGGTGAGATTGTGGTATGATTTAACTGGGGCATCGTTGCACTTCATGACACATAGAAGCTCATGGTTTGCGCTAGTCGAGAAGTTATCGTCGACCTGCTTCGGCAGCCGATCAGACATCCTCGTCCCGTGCAGCACCGATGAGTGAGAGTGAACGAGCGCGGATAGCGGCGACTACCATTTGGCTGCCACTTCCAAATCAGCAGTGTGCGTCGACGCCCGATCGACAACACCCCCAACGAATGCAGCCGCAAATTCTGTCGCTCCCGCCACCAGACGAGAGGAGTGAAATTCTCACGGGCAATCCTGCTGTCCGACTGTCGAGTCTCTCAGTCCTAGCCTCACCACTCGACTCGCGGACAGTGAAGCCGAATAACACACCGTTGGAGAGTACCGCAGGTTGGCCTGAATTCTTATTAGCGATTATGAAGCCTTGAACTTTGTATTTCTGATTTTGAAATTAGTCAGAATAGTTCGGCCTCCAATGGTGTTTGAAATACTACTTTACTCTCAAGTGCTGAAGTCCAAATAAAAGAGAATGGATTAATTGGTAAAAAGTTTTCCGCACTTGAAAGTCTATGCATCGTTTGAAAACTTTCTCAACACTGCATGCTTATTTATTTACGCGTTAACTCCATGAAAATCATTGCCCAAGTAACTCTTAAAAAATTGCAAGTCTGCCTGAGATTGAACTCCGGGGGACATTCAGGGACAGGTGGTGTTTAACCCATATGGTGCTTAGGATTAACCTTAGGAAGCGTTGACTGTTTGCTAAGGTTTCGCTTTACCCTATACCAGAATTGTGGCCTAGAACTCCTTTGGATTCAGTTATCTAAGTAGTTAATTTTGTAGCATTTTAACGCAAATAGGTTTGACAATGGGGTGGTTGGAAGCCGGGGAATTTACCCCTGCTGCCTTTTTAGCTTCCGTTGACTCTTGCCTCTGAGGTGCTTGATAGGTTTTGGTTGGCATTTGGTGCAGTTATGGCTTAAACAATTATATGCATATTTTCTCGGTTGGGTGTCTACTTCTGTTCGTTTGTTAATTTATTAATTCATCTGAGATCCACCTAGCCACTCGGTTTCTACTCTTCCATCCTTCACCTCGTGCCAGTCTCCAGCATAAAATCCCCCGTTGCCTCTGTTAGTGATTGGTCTCCCCATTCGATCTGAAATACCGGAATGGGTGGTGTGACTAGATCCACACTCGAGGATGTCTGCGAAATGATATCTTTAGTTTTGAGGTCTACGAATAGTCGCTACCTTCAATGCAACATGGCAGGACTCGAGGGACCAGCTAACGGTGATCATTTTCTTCGGTAGTTCAGGAATCATTGTGTCTAATCATTGTGACATTTGGGACTGGTTTCGGTAGCCGCTGGACGTCAAGGTTTTTACTTTAACCTCATTGCTGTTCTACGTAAATGGGTCTGTAAGGCTAATGTCAAGGGAAGCGGTAGCCGGAAGTCCGTAAATTCGCTTTCATTGCGCAATTTTTTCATAATTGACACACCAGTTTCCACCCCTTGAAACGACAGATGAGTTCTGCACAGGGCTTTGAACTCCACCTTGTATCCATCCACGTATTCTTCCTTGGTCCATCTAACCGCCTATTTGTTATCCTCCTCTACTTAGTGATGCCTCACGAGGGCAGTGCCCACGATGCACCACCACTAGCGGACATATCAAACATTTCTCCTCGGCCACCACTTTCGGCCTATCAGGTGGGTGATAAGATCCACAGTGAGGCGCGTCGCATCTCCTTCGCCCAACCGCTCTCTCCGATACCTAAACGCTCAAGTGGTTCAAGGGGTAAGTACTCTTTTTATCCCAACCCACCCTTTTGTCCGAGTAATGGCTCCTGAGCCTTAGTTCAACAAGTTGTTTTTAAAATAAACCTTTGCCGACAATTAGCCAAGTTTTGTGCTTGTCACAAAGACCATATCAATCACTCAGATGGGCTTGAAGTTTCTTTCGGTGTCATTCAGCCCCGGTAGTTTGAGCGTCACATCAAGTCGGCGGCAGCCTTTCATTGTCCCACTGGGATTCTTGTATGGATAAAACAAAAATAAAACTACCATTACCCAGTGGGCATTGTTGCGATACATCGTACGTGCTGCTATGGTGACGGTTTTTTATCTCACCATCCAAACAGACAGCTTGATGCTCTTTCCGATCTGTATAGCTGTTGCCTACTTTTTTCATACCCCCTTGTTCACAGGTTCTAGCAATCTTTCTACGTCCGGATCCAAGATACCACGCCATCGTTCCCGTAGCGAGGACGCCTCGGTGAGTTTCTACGCCTCTTTTCCCTTTTACATAAGTATTTCTTTTCCTTGTGTCCAGTCTCCAATTTTCTTTTGTTGTCAAACGAGCATTTTTGGCGTTATATCGCTGAACAAATTTTGTACGGTTTAGTCCTGACGGGGTCGCAACGTGACGTCTGCATCTGGATTCACCTAATGGGGTTGGGGAAGGGTTAGCCAACAGGCCTGTCACATTGCCACAGCGGTAACCGGAACGGACGACTTTAGTTAAGTAGTTCCTTACCTCTAACCACACCATTCTATCTCGAAATTTGGGGAACTGGCTGGCTCCAATTTAACTGTTGCGCTACTTCCATGGCGTGATTTAGGACGCAAATTTGAGCTTGAACATGCTGTGACCATTGGCGTGGATACGGTGGAGGCGTTCGTTATTCGTCGTTGTCTGCGCCTCGCAACTACGGGCTGCACCACAAGCCTTGTCGATGCGGTGTGTTCACGATCCAAGAAACTGTGGGGAGCATCTCCTGTTGGACACCCTCACGTCCCGAAATTGCCTCCATTTAAAAAAATCAGACACTAGTCCACTGGGGTGAAGGAGTTGGAGAGACAGGGGGAGGAGGGGAGCCGACACCTCCTAGCTGTCTTGGAATGAGATTCATCACCCATTTCTGTCTTTTTTGCAGAACTACGAGCAGTGGCTGGAGGAGTTCAACTCTCAATTAAAGCCCTACGAGGAGTTTGATCTTACAATTGATTAGACAGTTGGCTCATCTGCAATCATCTCGCATTTCTTCTGTATATTATAACTATTTTTTTTAGAGAGATCACTCCACCAGGGTATTTCGACCTTACTTGGTTCCCCCCCCCCCCCCTCCCTTTTTATTTTACTGGATATTTATCCAACTCCCTAGGGGTAATGCTATTACTACCAGCTGATGAATGTCAGCAAAGTTGTATTCCAACAGCCTCTTTTTGAATATACGAGTAAGTAATCATCACTCCGCGGATCTGATAACTTGGGAGACAAATTTGACCTCTACTGCTTATTGAAGGGGGTCAGTTCTCCGACGGTAAACCACTCGAGGTCACTGACCTCTCTTTCACTGATTTAGACGCTATGGCTCATCCTGAGTCGAGAAAGGCTAGGAGAGTCGTGAAGTAGGCATCACGACCATCACAGAAACGAAGACGGGCAAAACTAGAAGCATATCAAGGAAGTTATTTTCTTTTGAAATAAATAAGCGGGGGTGCAATGATAGGGTAAAATAATGAAAAGAAGGGAGCCACTGTGGCCAATAATAGAAAAGAAGTAATTCATTTGAGAGGCAGAAGCGGTAGGTGAGGCACCACGTCTACGACTCATTTATTTTCAAGCCTCGCAGTTGGGAGGATCGACGCTGCTGAAATTTACACCAGTGGCTGGTTCAGCAAAGTGCTACTGAGAAGCATTTAAGCGGTTACACAAACGTACAGTTTCGAGTTCACCTTTGGTGACGTCCTCCAATTTGCGAATATCTCGCATCGTCATGCCGTACCATTCGTCAGTCCAACAGAAGAGCTGACGGTGAAGGATTGTGAAGACGCGTTCTTCTTGCTGTGCAGAGGATGGATGCGATCGTTGGTGAGATTGTAAAAAAAAACAGAACCAGCCAAATTATAGAAGAGGCGGCGGAATTAAATCAAGCTTTTAGAATGATTGACTCATTTTCAACTTGTAACTTCATGCAGGACATCGGGGAGGGATACTTCCGCTGGTGATACAATTCGCAGCGGTGGCAAATTTGCCGGCAAAACCGGTATTGAGTACACATACATAAAACAGTTTGCGGTCAAGATTATTCTTTCCAAGCAGAGGCGTAAATCTTGAGAGTGTGGATACACATTTGCCCAAACGTCCACAAGCCCAGTGAGGCAAGGAGACTTGATCGATGTAGACACTTCAAAAGCGACCGTACCTCTGTCATTGACAATCTCAAATGAGGTGGTTGCCAGTCCACAGCTTACCACTCTACATGCTCATGATGAGCCAAGAGATGGGTCCTTCCGTGAAAACAGTGGGCATAACCATCCATCGAAGTCGCCGCGCAACGGACATCATAACAGTGAAGCCGAATGATGCAATTTGTGCCAGGTGAACCTACATTGGAAAGGGGGAAGCACTCTCCGCGTCCTAGAACCCACCCTTTTCTTAATAAACTCAAAACTGCCGGTTAAATTTGAACGCCGCCTGCATTTTGTGCGTAGTAAAATTGCCACCATTGAACTGTTGCTATACCAACTGCAGTTATTCTAATGATCACCCAATTGCCCACAAAATAATACATTGGCGAGATATACACTGTGTTGTAATTCTGCTTTAGGTGGGAGATAAAAAAAGGCAATACAAACACCTTTATGAGGTATTTTAAAAGTACACCGGACCATTATTTTTGACGGCATGACTCACCTCACCTCCACGACCCGTATTTAAGTCCGTAGTACTTCCCTCCAAGTTGTGTTAAAAAGTGACAAGACTATCCAATTCACGGGTTCGCAAAAGTTTACAAAGTACGGAGATAATGAGGACAATGAGGGGCTGCCAACAAATTCGTCAGGCCAAGGATAAATAGGAAGAGTACTTTTTCCTAGCTAACATCAAAGCTTCGTTTGGTATGGGCGTGTTCGTTTCGTATGTGAGAATTTTACAAACACCTCTGTCACATCAGTGATCGTAGAGTGAAAACACCCATGACGTGACTCCAGAAGCTACTACTCACAGATAAGGCGGAACGTGCCCTTGGTCAGTTACTTACGATAGCCAGTAACAGTTAAAACAGAATGGACGGTGGTGCTGTTCCAAATCTTGACAAAGCACCCACTTGGAAAACTTTTGACTGGCCAAATTATTCAGAGGGTGGGATTCGCCACCATAGGTAGGATTTCACACCGGAGATCAAATGCGATTTTTACAGATGAGAGAGCTTGTAATAAGACCTTAGTAGCATGACACGAATTTGCCCCCAACTGCTAATTAAATCTTGTCACTGGAAGGTAACAATCCAGCCATAATCACCTCTCTTTCCATCTCAGTCCTATTTCTCAACTCTCTATTCTACCCTGGATGTGGATACACGATTGTCAAATTTCGAGGAAAGGAGAATAATTAGAGCTAGGAGAGGTGTGAGAGGAATAAGGAGGACAAAAAGACAGTATTCCTCCACCACCTCCCCGGTCACCTCGAGAGCGAATCGTCTCATAGGTTTTGCGTTGCCTTGTGACAATGATACCTTCTCTCAACTGGATCATTTAGACCTGGCTACTTTTGAGGAAGAGGTTCTTCTCGCGCATCCTTCAGATCTTAGTGGGCAATTGTCTAGGCCTGGGAAAGGCATTTACAAGGAAAAGTTCTGCCTACAGCCCACCACATACACACACATGCAAAGGATGCTATTCAGTGGATGAAATGATGGGTGTGGAGCCAGGAAAGAGTGGACAATTTGGAAATAACCACTGATACCTGTGAAAAAAACAACTACGCACAACTCGACAGCCTTAGTTTTAACAGGCAACATTATGTAAGTCTTCACTACTGTATCTACCTCTGGGTGATACATCATCAAAGTCGAATTAAACGTTTAAATCGTTTCTAGCCGACACTTTACGATGCCACATTTTGCACCTTCCAAAAAATGCAACAAAGTCGATTAAACGAGAAGTTTATACGACTCTGGAATCTGCTTGAACTCAATTTACGAAGCAGATCAAATGGAATCGCGTTTAGCAGTTTAACCGACACTTAATGATACGAATTTGGAGTGGAGCACGATAGTGCCTCACCAACGGATCACATCTCCATACGTGTACTTTATAATGCGTGCACAAAATCGTATGCATTTAAAGAATGCCCACGATTTAAAATTTATGGTACGAACTTATCGGTCAGACAATAAAAATGAAATACAGATGGGAAATATGCGACTGACAAAACCTTAACAAAACTGGCTACAATGACTCACGCGCTGAATCATATCTTCAACACGGCCCTGGAAACCCCATACCTTAAATTCACACGTCACTAATTTGTAAGCGCACATGACGGGACAGTTGTGTTTTTTCTAGACGAAAGTCAAATAGTAAAAAAATGATGAGTTCAAAATTTACCTCCCACCATCGCCCCTTTGGCAGTGGACCTCTTTTGGTCTTTTTAGAGACATATTCAGTCGGATCCTCTCCGGGGTTTGTGTCACCAGCTGCGGCAGAGGTAGAGATATCTACATATATTATCTTTCTTTTGGCTAGTAAATCGCTAGGGAGGTTGTGCGCCTAGTAAGGTTGACCAACAAACGAAAAGCTGAAGTTACGTTTTCGAGTGTTATGTCAGCGGAATGCAGAGATTCGATCTTTATCTCCAACTTCTGTTCAAAAAAGTCGTTCTAAAGAAGTTCATGCACGAAGAATATGCATACTAACCGTTAAAACAGTTCGGCAGTAGGGGTAAGCATTCCACGCAATCTCGTTGAATGTCATCAAACTGGAGGGAAGGAGAGCCGAGACAAATGATGGCAATTTGCTCGCCACATGATAAATTTTGTGTGTGTACTGCCCTGTTTCAAAGCCATCAAGAAGTGGAGATTTCGGAGGGAAAACTTTATCATCGAAGGGACAATTTTGCAAGACCTCAACGCCGTCACCCCCTCCAGTTTGTTCTTTAGATGCCTTCGCTACGGCATACAGTTGAGCAATCTGATACTCGTCAACAGTAAGAGGCAGAATAACACGGCTATTTTTTAAATAAATGACACAGGCATCAACACTTACTATTCATATATTAACATAGTAAAAACAAAAAAGTCGTTACCCAGAGGGGGCAACCAAGACGTAACCTTGAAGAAACGACTCCCGCGCCAAGTAATTAAGCAATATCATCATAAATGCAGCAAAACCCCTATATTTAGACACAGAAAAACCTCTCTTGTTTTGGTCTATTTGTATTTTTGCCTTGCTAAAACGTATTTAAGCGTATTTATCATAGTGAGTTCACTTTACATACCAGACAACTTTGTGCCATATGAAATCATGTATACCTACTCTAAAATGAAACAACTTTTGTACCTTTTATATTTCTAGCATATTTTTTAAATTTTAACCATAGAATTACTGCACACAAATGCATCTGCTTTAAAAACTTTCCGACGCAAGTCATTTCAGTGCGAAATCTGGGATTTTATAACTTTATTCAATCTTTTCTTAGTACATTGTTTAGATTATAACCCTCCAAGTGTAGCCTACTGCTTTAATAATTAAAGCTGCATGGATAACGGTTTAGCTATGGGGCGAAGAAAGAATGGTTTGGTGTAAGCACGAATGTAATTACACGCCGTGAGGCAGAACAAGCCGTAAGGAGTAAAGAATCCACCTTTTCGAATGCCAAACCAAAATATATGATTTACCATTATTTGTGCTTTACGCTTTTATACATCATCTCCAGCCCTCCTCTTGGCCGCTGGAGGAGGCGAAAAGTATGTAGCCTCAACGTCATTAAAGCAACCAGTTAATCTTACTACATTCTCAATTGCGTTAAAAAAAGAGGCATTCCTAAATAGTGTGTTTTTCAAGGGTTAACGATGTTCTACAATGAGTATATTTCAGTGGTAGGTAGCTAGGCAAAGGAAATCACATCCACCCAATGAGACACTTGATACAGGGTAGCTTTACACAAATGCTATTTTTATCTACTCCGTCTTGTTCTCACTTCGAAGATGCTAGACCTTAAGCTGCCGCAGACGCGAAGGAGGTAACAGTTAAGTCCCAAATATTTATATTTTAATCCTAGATAGCTTCGTGATGGGGGTTCTTAGACCGTTAATTTCTTACAAAACAAGAGTCAAAGATGGTCATTGAAAACGGATTTAACTACTGCAGCTTTGCTCTGATGGGCCTCCCCATATTCAGCTACCCCTGGCAATTCGCCTTAAATTAAGCAGTTTAAGAAAGTCATTAATTTTAATCGGGTCTGCTTGCCACTGCTTACAGTAAAGCCAGCTACTCGGAAACTTCCTTAAACCCGATGTATGGCATTTGAAAGCAAAAGAATCGGTTATTGCTGGTGTACAAACCATAGGGCTTTCCAGAAGGCCATACTGCCAGGAAGAGATTAAAGCTCCCGCGTCGACAAATAAATAATTGAAGCAAACGTAATTCAGTCGTAAAATTACTTACCAGGGCAGATAAAAGTGCCCTGAGGCAAAAAATAAGTACATTTACTTTTTTTAATAAGTAGAAATAACGTGGTAACATTTCTACACAACTGAAGCAAAAAGTCTTTTTCTTGTAGCAGAAAAAAGAAGACGCGCATTTCCAAATGAGGAGATTTGGAGAGCTTTGGCTGCTCAAGGCGTCCCTGGAGCCTTCAATGTCTCTCGAAGGGAGGGCGATTTGTCCTGACTTTGTAGAAGTCTTGCCAAAGAGTCGGGATGAAAAGACTTAAATTCTGAGGTAAGGTCCCTTCCTCATCTCCTTCGAGGAGGCTAATAGTAAGTCGACACCATCGACAGAGCAGCTGAAAATAACCCAATGCTTATCAAGCTAGAGAGCATCGTACACAAAACCTTTTGCAACGGTGATCCATGAAAATCGACGCGTTGCATCAAATGTCTTCGCGTGACTATGCAGAGAAATGATTGAAGGCAACGCTTAAAAAGGAGGGAGAGGTGTGATAATGTCAGATGCTGCTTGTTTTAATTGCATGTCAGGCTCAACGGACCTTCCACTCTTTAAGGATGCAACCTGGACTGCACCGTTTTCTGATACCTTCATTGCGCCCGATAAAGGGATAGGTGAAGTATATACTTTTCCGCGTAAAATCCCACAAAGTGCGATAAAATCTGAATGATGGTTCATTTATAATTATTTTTTATGCTTTTTTTATTGACCCCCTCAGCTGATCACCCACCTTGAAGGTAGATGGATATTTTCATGTATACCACCGCCACTCAGAAGCATGAGGTTGTGCTGCTACAACAGCCAAAAAGAATGCATTCCTTTAGCTAGGCTACACTTTAAGGGAACCGCCTTCCCACTCACCCCCACCCTGCTCTGCCCCCATCTCTTCAGCGCTGCCTTATCAAGTTATGCCCTCAGGTCTCGTGACCATCGCCCCAGCACATCAAAGGGACCGCCGGCCTTGGCGCGTTTGTCTCGCTCTCTCCCTCTCTCGCTCGCCTGTTTTCTCGCGCTCTCCTTCACACTCGTGGGCTGTTCAACAGCAAGATTTGGAAAGCATGCCGGCTTATTTATTCCGGACATTGAATAAGTGGGTTGTGCCAGTAAATAGGCCGTAGCATCAAAGGAAATCCGCAATAATTATTAACGACAGGAGTGTAGGCAACATACATTTGATGGGAGCTAGTACACGGTTCAACAATCAGTATTCTCAAACGTGGTGAAGATTTACTGCACAGACTAAAGGTGGGCCAAAAAAGGGCTCTTCAATAACCTCCTCTCCCTCCGCCTTCCATGCATGATGTTGGAGGGCAAGGGGGGACCTATAAAACTCAAGTACATTTGGGCGCCCAATTTTTTTTGGTCAAACATTGAAAGATTTTTACCGCTTGAACTAACATAAAAGCAGCTGCCGAATGTAGACATATGTACTTTACTTATGCACCTATTACCACCTCGTTTGGCTGCTGCCCTACATACTAAACTCCACAGATTATAGAAAAGGGTATTGGCAGCAAATGGACTTTTGGGAGTGGGCTATATGGCCAAATACACAATTTTTAGATGTCTAAAGTAAATATTCATTATCTCCTCCCTTGCCCACCTTGACAAACGGACCTTTCTGACATTTACCCCCCTCTTTCTCTCTCTCTCTATGTGTGTGTGTGTGTAAGTGTTTATCCTGACCTTCTCCACCCTGTGTCACCACAGCTGAAAAGGTTAGCGACATTTTTAAGGACCCCTCGTGACAGGATATCTCTATCGAAATTTATGATTTTGGACAGGCATATTCGGAGGGGGAAAGGAAATAAAGGTTAATCACAGCTGTGCAATTCACCTCTTGGCTTAGAAAATGTCTCGTTTTCCCACTGTGGGTAGTGATGTTCGAAGGAGTCGAATTCCGTAAATCCAAACGATTATGCAACTGGAAAAGATATTTACAGAAGTATGTCCAGTTGTTGTAGGTGATGTAGTGGTGAGCTTGACTCCTATCAAATGTTCCAAGAATGTTGGAAATCAAGAAATCCGTGTAGATTGAGAGCTGTAAGGTTGGAACTTATGAACACCGTCTCTATGGTCCCGCCCGCAACTACTCCTTTGCCTCGACTGTCAAAAAGCATGAGATGATGCTTTCAACATACCAAGTCATGCCGGACGTGACACCCAAGGCCAAATAGTAGAGTCCAGATAAGCCAGGTGCTAGTCAGACATGCTATCAAAGCATCTTTTCTTTTAACTACATACACACCACACACACAGAGAGAGAGAGAGAGAGAGAATGTTGATGCCATTTTTAGCGTACCTCCATGCAATGGCCCGTTAAAACGTGCTAGGACCTGTAAAATGCATGAACTTGTTCGTAGTGTGTCACTATAAGGCCTCGGTATGCGTCAGTCGGCATAGCTACTCTATGTTTGTACTCTACCCCACTTCCCTCTCATTACTCTTGTCATAAAATCAGGTTTAAATTACTTAGAGAATGTGATATACACTTGCCTGTTTGAAGATTACTTTAAGACGCCGAAATGCTAATTCCTCTTCAAATTTTTAGCTATTTGGACGGTAGACGGGAGAAATCACTACAGTGAAAAAATCTTCTTCTCTTTGGGCAACGGATGACTTCAGACCACTTCAAGAGTGGTTGGTCATTAGATGGGAGGGAGGGAGGTACTGGAGCACTGGGAAAGATTTGTAGATGGAGCAGGGAATAGAAAGTCGCACACATGCACACCCACGCAATATGATTCACACCTGTCAATGCATTACGTCTATTTATTAGGCATCAAATGGCAGCGTATCTGTCCGCCAACAATTGTAAAAAACACATTCAATCTGAAATTATAAACTTAAGGATCTAAAAGGAAGAAATAGGTAGCCGTAAAAATATAGACGTAGGTAAAGAGATGTATGGATACAGGATGGATGGATGGATGGATACAGGATGGATGGATACAGGA